GCAGTGCGATCTGAACTCAACAAACCTGACAAGAACAAAACTGTCAGTCAGTGTCAATATCGTGGTTCTTGGGGACGTCCCCACAAAACCTGCATGACACACACACAACAACACACACACACCTACAAACACATGACACAGACATGCATGATAGTACAGGTAACAACTGGAAGACGCACACACATGTGCGCGCACACACATACACAAACACACACACACAACAACAGACACACACCCTGGCAGACACATAACAGACAGACACACACAGAAACACACACGACAGACCCATACACACAGACACACATCCTGACAGACAAACACACGATACAGACAGACAGACAGACAGAAACACACACATGCACGCATACAATAACAGAAACAGATAGACACGCACACACACATACCAGACAGACAGAGACACAGACACATGCAGACACACACAGACTCACCTCTTTGAGTCGGTGCTCCTTCTCCGCCACAATGTGCTGGATCATCATGGCCACTGAGTAGACCCAAGAGATGACCATGCAGAGCGGCATCATGTGCTCTATCACAAACAGGAAGCTGGAGACCATGAGGGGAGGGGGGCATGTTAGTGGGAGTTGCCACTGAGGCCTCGACAGCAGAAAAAGGCCAGAGCAACCTCAGAGAGCGAAAAGCATGGAGGCACTGAGATACAGGCCAGCTGTGCACAGGGTTCAGGCACCGAGCACAGCTGACACAGCAACAGAAGGAGAGAAGAAACCAATGTGACATGAGGCAATGGAGAGATCATGAAAGTGCCAGCAGAAAGAAAGCCTCCAGAATGCAGAAGCTGAGAGGTCCGCCTTACTCGTCCCGCGTGTAGCAGGGATACGGGAACATCTGCACATAGTTCCCCGGTTCCACCACGTCGTGGCCCACAAAGGTGTTGATGATGGCTCGTTCAATCATGTCTGGGGAGCAGAGCAAAGTAATCGCATTAGAGCAGAAGCTAAGGCGCTGCCTCCAGCTCCCCCGGTCAGAGGCTTGAAGGTTCCAGCATTAAAATACATGTTAGCCAGCTGCCCAGGGCAGAGTAAACCAAGCAATCTGGACTCAAAATAGATGCTGGTCCAGAAACATCATCACGTGAGTCAGAGGCCTTCCTTCCATGGAATAACCAATAAAGTCTGACAGAGGAATCTATTTAAATTTACGTAGGCAGGTGATGTTCTTGCAAGAGCCACAGATTGATAAATCAAGAATGATTCTGCATCAGCTTCACACAGTGGAGATCTCACACAGCTTTCTGGGACTATAAACACGCATGAATTGCAATAAGTACATATGCAATGTAAAAATAAGGCTACTGCAGTGGTTAGTGCTGTCACGACACACCTCTGAGACCAGGGTTTGAGTCTCTGCCATGGCTCCATGTGGGCGTCTGCATGTTCTCCCTGTGTCATCATGGGGGGGGTTTCCTCTGGGTACTCTGGTTTCCCCCCACAGTCCAAAAATATGCTGAGGCGAATTGGAGTTACCAAATTGCCCATAGGTGTGTGAGTGTATGGTGTGTGTGAGTGCATGGTGTGTGTGAGTGCATGGTGTGTGTGAGTGTATGGTGTGTGTGAGTGTATGGTGTGTGTGAGTGTATGGTGTGTGTGAGTGCATGGTGTGTGTGAGTGCATGGTGTGTGTGAGTGTATGGTGTGTGTGAGTGTGCCCTGAGAAGGGTTAGCACCCCATCCTGGACTGTTCCCTGCCTTGTGCCTGAAGCCTCCAGGATAGGCTCCTGTGACCCTGAACACCATAAGCGGTTAGAGAAGATTGGTGGGTGGATGGATGGAGTGTAATGATTGAAATCAACTCTGATAAACAAGATGAATCATTCATTTTTGTCCTCCATTTCTGGGAAAATCTCTCATTTGGCAATAGCAGAGTAATCTAGGAGAGCGATTTCTGGAACAAATTACAAAGTGGGTTCCTGAGGAATGGTGTAGTCATTGGAAAAGGGGTTTCCTAATTAAATGTTTAAACACCTCAACAGAAGCCTGATGACTATCTGACACAAAAATTAAGGGCAAGAAAATCTAACTAATTAATTAAGAAAAATCCTCACAGAATTTACAGAAGGCTGTGATTTCTGTGCTTATTTGGGTAGAAAAGAGGATTTGGCTTACATCCAGGTACGGTTCGTACATGGATGCTGCGCTTTACTGTACCTCAGGATAAATCTGAACTGTTAAATCAATTTGCGGTCTTTGTCCCATTCATCTTTTCAAATATTATTGGAGAGAAACAGCTCTCTTCTGCAGCTAAGAGTCCTGACTGCCTCCATTCAGATTAAGGGAGGAATCACAGTAAAAGTGTCCTCCCCAAAATAAAAACAAAATACACCAAAATCAATACAGCATTGTCACGGACCCTGAACCACATACAGTGGATCCAAATCATGCTGGGGAAAGAGTCGCATGCCAGAACTGGATCTGCTTCACAGAACATCATATAAAACGCAGAATAAAGCATTAGCTTCCAGGCTGCAGATCAGAACGGACACGTGAGCCAAATACATAAATAACTCCATTGCTAGCTACCGAGGTAGAGCATGGTGACTGCGCGTGGGAGGGCAGCGCTTTTCATATCAGGAGCCCAGAGTATCTGCTAAAAGGAGCGCTTCCCTTTCCACCAAGCAATTGGGGATTTGAACTGGTGACCTTCTGATTTTGAATCGTAAACCACTGAGTCTCACACCGCCCTGACAGCTCATCATGCTGTCCATGAGAAACACAGGCACACATATACACAGGTGAGAGTTTATGGGGGTCACAGCACAGGGACATCCAGTGCCCAGTGCCCCTGGAGCAGTTGTTGCTCAGGGAACCAATAGTGCTACGATTAATCTGCCAGCCATGGGGAGTTGAACCCATGAACTTCCATACAAGAGCATAGATGGAGAAAGCTAAGCTGCACACTGCTGAGCCGAGTGTTCGTGCCACCGTTACGCAGGCCAACTGTGCGATGAGATCAGCTGCGTACCCTGAATCCACACGAAGCCGTACAGGAAGTAGAACTTCCCCCCAGTGTTGGGTCCAGGCCGCCAGTAGGCCCGGCGGATCTCATTGGTCTTTTCGGTGAGGCTGGAGTTCTGCCGGACCTTGTAGAGCACATGGGGGGGCAAGGTGCCGTCCTTGTTTGTCTGAAATATCACGCCTGGAGGGGGGCGACAGGCATTTAACTCTGTTACGGATCTTCCGCTCTGTGGTGCTTGAATTGTTTCAGCAGAAATTCCACCTGCCATCAACAGTGGCGCCAGTGCACCCCCCCCCCCCACCCCCCGTCCCAGAACGAGGACGGGTGGATACTCACTGGCGAAAACAGACACGTTGTCCTGGTAGGCTTGGTTCAGTGTATAGTTCACAATGCTCTCCTCATCTGGGAAGCCTTTGAAGATGTCCACACTAACCTGTTACCAAGGAACAGTAGATGATAACGTGTTCAGATGTCCTACAGCATTAGTGCTTCTGATATTTATTCATTTTGTAGAAGTTTTCTTTTGATTCAAAGTCATAAAAATTCATCCATTTATAAAGATGAATATTTATTAAAGCAAATTAATGACATTAAGGGTACAATGGCAGGACCGCCCAGGGATTAGAAACGCACTCTGGTTACGGGTCTTGAACCCTAATTACTTGTGGGCAAGGGTAAAGCTGCTGACCCACAAATATGAAGTGAAAGTTACCAAGCTGAGTGACATCCTGTTTTTGGGCATGATGGGCTGGAGGAGCCAGCGAGCCGGGGGATTCAGGCCCAGTGACGGATGCTTGATGACTTAAATACATGCACCGGTGCATCGTGGGAGCTTGGCCTGTCCAGATGGTGCAGGAGGAGGCTGACCTTAGACATGAAGCGCGTCCAGCCGCAGGCGGCGTTGTCGATGGTGTCCAGCTGCTCCAGCAGGCTGCTGCTGTTGGGAAGGGTGAAGTTGCCCTCCAGAAGACGCGTCACAAACTCATTGTCAGTGGCGTTGAGCAGCTCAGGGTGTCGCCGCAGGTCGGTGATGAACTGCAGCCGCACAGAAAGAGAGGGGTTGCAGGGCATACACAGCCCACAGATGCAAATTTACCACTCGTTTGCTTAGAATAATTGGGTGTTGGCAACTGAAGGCTGCATTACAATTAGCTGGGTACGCTGCGGACACCAGTTGCGGAGGTGTGACCCCACACCGTCCACGATTACGCTCCGTATGTCAAACCCACTAGACTATGCAAATTCAATTTAGTTTCCACTCGGCTCTCAGTCCAATTCCTGAAAGCAATGAACCAACAGAGAGCAGACTGATGGATTCTCCACAGTCAACCAATCATGTTTGATGGTTCCAGTTTCATTGGCTGCATGAGTGCCTGCGCAGTTGCGTACCTGCTGCAGCCAGGCCATGTGGTTGTGCAGCTTCCCCTCCTGCAGAAAGGTGCGTAGATCTGCTGAGATGTTGAGCCACACACGGGCATAGTGTGTCACATTGCCCACGAAAGCAAACGTCTCGTTGGCCTGCAGGGCGGCGACAGCACGTTAGGTAGCCTGCTACACAGTGACACTATGCTGCTCCCCTTATTATTATTTTTTCCCTGTTTCTGACCCCCCAGCCCTCATTACCTGCCAGTCAACCCCAGAGACCCTTACAGCTTTTGGAAACAGTTGTCACCTAAGCAGGCCATCAAAAATGCCTGCCAGGCTGGTGTGTTCCCCACACACCCTGTCCCTATCGACATATAGACCCACTGCATGATCTGAATGGTATTCTGTGACCAGCTCCCAGCATGCAACAGCATGGGTGTGGCTGACAGAGAGGGGTTTGTCAGTTAAAAATTGGTACAGTCAGCACAGAATCTCAACGTGAGTTATTTAATGAACCTGCTTCTTCCTCATGCATGGCAGGGAGTACAGGGCAGCACTCACCTTCTGGATGACCTTGTCAACCTGTGAGCCAATCGGGGAGTAGAGGATCTTGGGATTTGTAGTCATCAGGTGCACCAGAAGGCCTAGGTTCCGCTGCTCCTTGCTGGTGAAGCCCAGCGAGCTCATGTTACCCCGTTTCAAAGCTTCAGGTTTGATAATTCTGACAAAAGAGACAGTTTGTTCAGGATTAACACCTAATATAGGGAGCAAAAGCCCACCTTTGCCATATAATCCCACAAGCGCGATTATAGAATTTTTTAAAGGTGGGGGACATAAGAGGAACCACAATTCATACAGAGGGGCCAACTATATCATTAGCCAATGTGCTTTAAATCAGTGAGTGACAGGAGAGGGACCACTCCAGGGGCCAATCAGTTTTCAGCTTGGACCAGTGCCCTTGTGCCACGCCCCTGAACACACCCTCCTGCCACCCCGCGTACCTGTTATTCCCACACAATATGGGCTGTAGTCCCGCCCACAGCTGTACAAATGCAGAGAACTGAGAGCGTGGGTTCTCCCCCTCCGTGTCGCCACCTGCAGGCCCGCTGGCATCCTCGTTGGGTACGTCGGTGGCATTCGGGCCCCAGGAGGTCGCATTGGGGCTCCAGGTGGTGGTGTTGGCTGGCAGCGGGGCCTGGTGGCCGGCGCAGGCCCCTTTGGGCAGCAGACGAGCCAGGCCTGACAGCAGGTCCACATCCCGCAGCAGCCGCTCCACATCAGCCAGGTCCTTCAGCAGTGCGCCCAGGTGGGAGGGCACCCCGGACGTGTTCACCTGTTCCAGGCGCAACTGTAGGGGGCGATGGTGAGGGGGACAATGGTAAAGCTAACACAACAGCAACATCTGGGGCATAAGAGGGGCCAAAATTCATACAGAAGGGCCAACCTTATCATTAGCCAATGACATGTTTTAAATAGGTGAGTGACAAGGGAGTGAGCACTCTGCTGGCCAATCAGCTTTCAGCTGGGCCCAGTGGCCCCACCCCTGTATTTCCTCATCAAAAAGCGGAAGCAACAGTTCTGGCAACAACTACCAGAGCAATGTCAACATCAATGACAGGAACAGCAACAAGTGCACCCAAACGGGAGCTATAATGGAAGTAGCATCAACAGGCTTCAACAGGATCCACAGGAGCAGCAGGATCAACAATGTCAATAATGGCATCGATAAAAACAGCTAGGACATCAACATGGATTTAGCCACACAAGGCTAACTTAAGATACATTTGGGAGTATTGATCAGTCATGCTCTGTCCTCCTCTCCCTGCTGAGCTCTGTCCCAAACACCTCCGCTAACGGTACCTTCTCCATGACCGCCCGAGTGTCGATCTGCTCCCTCAGCTCCTGGCTGATCTGGCTGAAGCGACGCGCCCGCAGGCCCTCCCCTCCACTGCACACTGCGCTGCGATATGCCTGCAGAGCTGCCTGTCGCTCCTCAGGGACCAATAGGATCTTGGTCAACTCGCTGCTCCCACCCCTCCCGCAGGTCAGCACTTCCAGCATGGTGGCAGTGAGAAGAACGCCCTGAAGGGAGATAGGTGTCACTGCAGCATCACCATGACACAGTCAGCAAAGTCACAGAACCAAGGAACGTGGGCCAGCTTACCTCCATCTCCTGGAGGTCCTGGAGGTCATAGCTCTTGCCCTCTGTCCCTCCACCGAGGCCCAGTGCCTGGGACATCAGCCTGAGCAGGGCCTGCCGATGGGCCGCTTTACTGGGCTCCTGCAGGGCCTTGTGAATCAGCCCCCCCTCCAGGCTTCTCCAGCCTTCAATCAGCTGCTCCTGCGAGGGTGAATGACATAATGTGCATGCACACACAGGCGTAGCTAATACAGAGAAATGCAGTGCGATCACCAGTGCACACATAGATGGGGCTGTAACACAGAGGTGCAATGTGGCTCGCCGGAATACACAATATAGCAGTAATGAAGAGACACTGTGTGAATTACCGCTGAAGCAGAAATGAAAAGGCACTGTGTGAATTACTGCTGAAGCAGAAATGAAAAGGCACTGTGTGAATTACCGCTGAAGCAGAAATGAAAAGGCAGTGTGAATTACCACTGAAGCACTAATGAAGAGTCACTGTGTGAATTACTGCTGAAGCACTAAGGAAGAGTCACTGTGTGAATTACTGCTGAAGCAGAAATGAAAAAGCACTGTGTGAATTACTGCTGAAGCAATAATGACGAGTCACTGTGTGAATTACTGCTAAAGCAATAATGACGAGTCACTGTGTGAATGACCACTGAAGCATTAATGACGAGTCACTGTGTGAATGACCACTGAATCATTAATGAAGTCACTGTGTGAATTATCGCTGAAGCACTAATGAAGAGGCAGTGTGAATTACCGACGAAGCACTAATGAAGAGGCACTGTGTGAATTACCGCTGAATCATTAATGAATTCACTGTGTGAATTATCGCCGAAGCACTAATGAAGAGGCACTGTGTGAATTACCGCTGAATCATTAATGAACAGTCAATGTGCGAATTATCGCTGAAGCACTAATGAAGAGGCACTGTGTTAATTATCACTGAAGCAGTAACAATGAGGTCCAGTTTAAACTGCCAGTGTGTATATACCTACTGTGTATCATTAGTCACTAACACACATTACAGGTGCCTTGAAAAAGTACTCAGCTCACCACTATTTTTCCACATTTAAAAGGGTCGCAGCCTGGATTTTATTTTAAATTGGAAGTTTTATTTGTGAGCCACACATGCATCTTACCAGAGTAGCCACAAAAAATAAAAATGATAAGCTACATGTTAGATAAAAAAAAAATCATCATTTATCATCAAGTATTCATCCCTCATTCAACCCCTTCCCCCCCCCACCCGGCAGCAAGTTGACTAAGCGATTTTCTTGCATTTCACCTGACAGAATTACTCATACCAGGACAGTTAACTGATGAGTGGCGGCAGGACACCCCCTGCCACCGCAACAGGACTGCGAGTTTGAGGTCTAGCCGCAGACCACCAGCCACAGTAAGGCTGGAACACTGGTGAGTGGCAACAGGACTGCGAGTTTCAGGTCCAGCTACAGACCTCCCTATCTTGGTGCTGCTCTTGCTAGCTTCCCCAGACTCTCTATTATCCCTGCTACTATTACTCAGATGCTCGTCCATCTCCATTTTCAGTCTGTTTATTGGAGAACCATGCTATGCAGACCAAGCAGTACTTATATGTACAGAAGAAACAACAGGTGAACCTTCTTACTACGGGGAAATAAATCAAGAAACTGTGTGGCTCTTGAAGTTGTGTACTGCAACGGGGGAATGATAAGCTTGGGGGTACTAGGGGTATGAGTGATTCCCAAAAGCACTCATTTGTGTTATTACAGTTTCGGTAAACGGTGCAAATGTCAGATGAAATCAGTGGAAGAGAAATTCCTGCACGGGTCTGTTTCAGTGAGATGAAGGAAAAGAGCCTCGGCGCTTTTTCATGGTACGGTGTGTGTGAGTAATCATCTGCGTTTTGTTTAGTAGATGCTTTATGCAACATGCATTTATTGAGAAAGCGGGGTCACTCCCTGGAGCAACTGGGGGTTAAGGGTCTTGCTCAGATGCTAAATGGCAAAACCACTCTGCCAACTCCGGGATCTGAACCAGCAACCTTCAGATTACAGACACACTGTACTAACTCACTGAGCTACACCATGAATGCCGTTTCCCTGTAGCTACCAGATAGACCCTTGCTTCATCTATATATACAGTATATATGATTGCAGTCCTCCCTGCCCCCCCCCCCCCCCCCCCCCCCCCCACCCCCCCCCCCCGCTCCCCCCCCCCCCCCCCCCCCCCCAAAAAACAGCTGCTCTGATGCCCCCCCCCCCCATCTGTCTTTTTATACCGCCCGCTGACACTCAGGTCCCACCGTGCCCTCCTCACCTCCAGTTGGAGCACTTTCTCCCCCGGACCAGCACCCACCCCCTGCAGCCAGCCCCCGCTATGGGGTCCTGGCCCAGGGTACGAGCCGAACAGGAGGTTATAGACCTGGGCGAGATGGAGAGAGGAGTAAAAGGATCAGGCAGAGGAAGAGAATGCAGCTGCTGTTCCCAGGGGCGATTTTAGGGTTCTTTAAGGTGGGCGGCATAATTCATACAGAGGGGCCAACATTATGATTAGCCAATGATATGCTTTGAATTGTTGATTGACATGGGAGGGGACACTCAGGGGCCAATCAGCTGTGGCCCCACCCCTGTACACACCCCTGGGTATTTCTCGATCTGTGGAAAGAGAGCAACAGACACAGGCGGGGGCACGAGGAAGGATGTGGGAAAGCAAAACATGGACGCTAACGGCTAACGGCAGATGTGACACCATAAAAATAAAACTACTGAAGGAGAGAAAGGAACCATGGGGGGCTGAGGAGGAGGGGCAGGATGGAGGTTGGTGGGGCGACTGACCTCCTTGAGATTGACGTGGGAGGTGAGCAGCAGGCCGGCTGTGTCGTTGGGCAGGGACAGGTTTCCCACCAGGAACTGCTGGAACGCAGACTGGTTCCTCAGCACGCTACCCAGGGTGAATCCTTCCGGGTCAGGGGGTCACAGGGGGGATAAAAGAGTGATATACAGTTTGTCTGTCAGATTCTGGTTCACCTCAAGGGCAATATGAAGTGTTCTATTATGTTATGACTTTGCAGAATTCATTAGGCACAGCGCTTCACACCAAGCGACCTCGTCGCTGGCAGCGGTTCTGCTTTGAACCATCTGATCGGTCAAAAGTCCAAATCGTTTACTTTAGCACAAACTGTCAGCCCCGGTCCCTCATCCTAAAGCAACCTGAGCTGGGAGACGGAACGTACACAAGGGAAAGTGCTGATGCAGGCTGCGTCTGACAGGAGGCGCTGTCGAGCGCTGTAAGGTATGGATGGACACCCCCACTTGGAGGCAGCTAAAAATAACCACCCCCCCCGAGAATCTGCAGGGTGAAGACAGCTGGGAGGCATCAAACTGTCGTGCTGAGCATGTTTTGCTCTGGGGGGGGGGGGGCACCCCTGTACCCTCTGTCCTTGGCTGCCCCAATTGGGGAGGATGGCAGGATGTAACACTCTGTATATCTCCTGGGGCCCCTCCCTGGCGCAGCGGGAGCAAGCTACCACGGGCCCCTCACAGCGGGGCCCCTCACAGCACCTCCCCCTCACAGCGGGGCCCCTCACAGCACCTCCCCCTCACAGCAGGGCCCCTCACAGCACCTCCCCCTCACAGCGGGGCCCCTCACAGCACCTCCCCCTCACAGCGGGGCCCCTCACAGCACCTCCCCCTCGCAGCAGGGCCCCTCACAGCAGCTCCCCCTCGCAGCAGGGCCCCTCACAGCACCTCCCCCTCACAGCGGGGCCCCTCACAGCACCTCCCCCTCGCAGCAGGGCCCCTCACAGCACCTNCTCCCCCTCGCAGCAGGGCCCCTCACAGCACCTCCCCCTCACAGCGGGGCCCCTCACAGCACCTCCCCCTCGCAGCAGGGCCCCTCACAGCACCTCCCCCTCGCAGCAGGGCCCCTCACAGCACCTCCCCCTCGCAGCGGGGCCCCTCACAGCACCTCCCCCTCGCAGTGGGGCCCCTCACAGCACCTCCCCCACACCTCACCTTCAGCCTGGTTTCTCTCTACATTTAATCCATTCTCTCCCAGCCCAATCATAAATCAAACAAAGGTTCACAATTAAAACACAAAGTTAAAGGTCTGGTACTTTGTGTGTTGAACTTTTAAGAAGCTGATATTGTGCAGGACTTGGCAGCAACTGTATTTTCCTGTTTTTGGTAAAATCTGGAATGATAAATTGTTGTAAGGAGTAACATTCAAACCGTTCTGATGTTATGCTTATTTGCAAGGTTATCATACATATCATATCACACAGCCGGCCATGAGTTCTGTACAGCCGATGTGTCACTTTTCCTACAAAATCACATATTACTATCCATGTGGGTACATTTTCAAAAATGAGCAAACCTCACACACACAGACACACAGATGGACACACAGACAGACACACACAGATGGACACACAGACACACACACACACACACACACCCAGATGGACATACAGACACAGACACACACAGATGGACATACAGACACACACACACCCAGATGGACATACAGACACAGACACACACAGACACACACAGATGGACATACAGACACAGACACACACAGACACACCATGGCTGCTGTTGAAGTGGGTCTCCAGGGGCCCTGGCTCTGTGCTCAGACCCTCCAGGTGGTGCTGCAGCGACTCCAGCTCCTCCCCCAGACCGGGCCGGTCGGCTGCAAACAGGTGGTTCTGCTCCACCACCTCACTGATCCGCTCTAGCAACTGTGTCACCCTGATGATTAGAGAGAGAGAGAGAGAGAGGGAGGACTGGGGAGGTGAATGGGGCCCCCTGGTCTGTGGGCGTGGACCACTGACACCATCACCGCACATTCTCATAGCGCTACTGGTGAGTTAAATAAGCTGGAACAGGTCCTTCCATCAGACCATCATCGGGCTGCTTAACTCCAAGCCCATTCACACCGCCATTGCACACCACAGTCACACTCATGAGTGTTACCACAATACATGGGTCACAGTGTATGTGTAACTGTCATTCTGCTTATTGACCTGAACTGGTGACCTTCTGATCACAGACACTATGTCCAATCCTACTGAGCCTCACAGTGCCCCCCAGAGCAGAGATTAGGTTCTTCTAAATCGCACAATATCTATTATTGCTATGTTGCATATTTACTGTTTTTGTATGCAGGTATCCGACGACTTATATATGGGCTCCATCCAACAAGTGAGGATGTAATTCGATCTGGACGGATCTCAATCATTACAGGGAAGAGGACAAATACTGTAAGGTACAATATACAGTAACACACATTTAACTAAACCTGTACATTGACAGTGCAATTGGTTTGTTTTGGTTCTTGCTGCATGCCGCACATGTGGTGAGATAAATCCACTGATGTCCAGCACATCTGCTTCTGAAGCTCCTCTGTAAATTTATCACGGGTCTTATGAGACAGATATTACTCCATAGCACATAAGTCGACGGATGACTGTACTTCCTGTTTGCACCATTATTTTTATTAGTCACTGCTGTTACTTTTCATACAAGTCTATCACTTGCTTGTGCTCTACAAAGTGATGTGACAAAGTGATTCGATTTGACGATTCAATGCGACGCTTTTCAAAGTGAACTGGACAGGACGGTTTGGGGTGGGGGGGGGGCATGGTTTAGGATGTCTTACGTGGAGTTCTTGTACTGCAGAAAGCCGAACTCGTCCCGCTGGCCATCAGGACACAGTGACTGCATGATGGGGATGATCCCAGCTGAGGTCAGTGGGGCAGCACTATAGAATGCTGGGGAGAAAGAGGGGTGGGCCGGGTGGGAGGAGGGGATACAGGTAAAAGGGAAAGGACAGAGAAGGAGAAACAGGGCAGGACGGACAACAGAAGATGATAAAGGGGAAAAAAGATAGAGAAGAGGAAGAGGAAGAAGGAAAACCATCAGAAATCAGAAAGGAGGCAGAGAAGGTCACAGATGTCAGCATTTTCCAACCGGATCATGACACTGAGATTTAGGGGCAATCGATCGCGAGAGCGGCCGAGACTTCCTGTCCTGTCACGAGAGTGATAAGCTGACTGCTCTGCTGCCGAAAGACTCCAGAAAAGCTCTCTGCTGCTTTTTTTGGCAGTTACAGGGGAAAAAAGGAAACAAGGAATCACTCCAAAAATGCAAAACGACGCACCAGTCACCAACTGGCCCTGAGTTTGTGCTAGTAATTAAAACGGGTAACTGCAGTGAATGTCTCTGTTTTGTTTTTTTTTTTTTTAAGAAAAAACAGATGTGTTTATTGAAATTACGTTTGCATTTTGACATTTTCTTCTACCCAATCCTTGATGAGTCACCAGAGCAGCCAAAGTGTGATTTTATTCCAGGATAGGGAAAAAAAGAACCTCAAAAGATTTGGATATGACAGAAATCATTTGTTATAATGTGTCAGAGCTGAGCACAGGTGTCAATGCTAACAGCAGGACCAGGATTCTGTGCTGCTGTACCTTACAATAACCAAACAAACACTAAATAAACACAATAAATTATTCAGTGCCAGCTGGCAGGTATAGCCTAAATTTGCGAATGACGTTGGCTCTTTTCACGCAGATGGGAGTGTCCCATGGTGGCCGTGTCTGACATCTGTTAACCCACAGTCCCGGAAGTGGAAGCGGCATTAGGGGTCAGGGGATGAGCCGACGACGGATAAGTGGGTCAACTGACCGGAGGACGGCAAATCAGAACGTTAATCCTGTCAGTATCACACCTGTGTGATGGAGGGGGTGGGGTGGGGTGTTGAGATGTCAGGGTCAAGAGCAGCACACGGTTAGTTGCCTGCAAACAGGAGTCAGGAAATGGAAGTGGCGTCCTTGTTTTTGAAAGCCTCCCGCCCCCAGTGGCGGTTACATGATGCCTCCCTCCTGTAGCGGCAGTTATAGGTCGCCTCTCACCCTCAGAGGCGTGTACAGGGTGCCTCCCGTTGGCAGAGGAGGTTACAGGGTGGCCTCCCACCCTCAGAGGCAGTTACAGGGTGCCTCCTGCCTGAAGAGGCGGTTACAGAGTGCCTCCTGCCCAAAGAGGAGCCTGCCCAAAGAGGCGGTTACAGAGTGCCTCCTGCCCACAGAGGAGGTTACAGAGTGCCTCCTGCCCACAGAGGAGGTTACAGAGTGCCTCCTGCCCACAGAGGAGGTTACAGAGTGCCTCCGGTTACGGGGTGGCCTCCTACCTGCAGAGGCAGTTGCCTCCCGTCGGCAGAGGAGGTTGTGGGGCTGCCTGAACCTCCCATGCTTGGTGGGTTATTGAAAGCATCCTGCTTGCTGAGCCCATAATGCATTTCAAGTGTGGGGAGGCACAGACCAGGGGGCCCAACCTGCATATTTTTTTATAAGACACTGGTATCCAAAGCAATGTACAACTGATAGCAGAGCCAGCCAATCCCATGAGCAATTGGGGATGAGGGCTTTGCTCAAGTTCCTGATTGTGACATCACCCTGCTGACCCTTAGTAACCTAGTAACCTTCTGACCACAGACACAGTGTCCTAAGCCTCTGAGTCACACTGTGTTCCAAAGCCTCAGTGCTTGTTATGGTTTTTTTTTTAACCATGGCCCAAGAAGCACACAGTTTGGGTTTGAGCCATGAGCCGGACTTGTTTCCTTCAGAAGTCGGGTATGTGTTTTGGGCTGGGAGTGTTTGGGCAACAACGGGGTGTCACGGGACAGGGCACAGTGGAGGTGCGGGAATGCAGCTACAAGAGGGGCGGCCGAGTGGGTGGATGGAAAACTGTGTGAGAGACTGACAATGGGGAGGAAAGAAAGAACGAAAAGACGAGAGGCTTTCGGCGAACTTACAGACTGGACCGGCATGCAGTGGCAGCAGAGTGTAGAGAGAAAGAGGCGGCGAGAGAGAGCGAGAGAGAGAGAGCGAGAGAGAGAGAGCGAGAGAGAGAGAGAGTGAAAGAGAGTGGGAGTGAAAGAGAGTGGGAGTGAGAGAGACAGAGAGAACAAAACAAATGGGGTGATTCATTTGCACATTCAAAAAAAGAACAAATTTTTTTTAAATGACAAATGACATACAAACAGGAAATGACAATTGCAGCCATGGAAACTATCAAGAGAACAAGAAACAACATTTGATTGACATATAAAGTGCAGACAGCCCTACAGACTGCGCTGCAGCTTTTGCGTTATGAGCCGCACAGCTCTGTGTAATGACAGCTGCCAGGACACCCATGAAAGCGCACAACTCCCAAATTCCATTTCTCATTCAAAGTGTTGCCGTGAGGGGAATGGCGGTGAAACACGAGGCAGCAGACACGGAGCCATCATACTCCCTGTCCCCAAGTGAGAGAGTGCTTGTGTCCTTGTTGTTTCTTCAAGGGCCCCATAGACAGATATGGACAGATCATCTTGATCATGTGGATGCACTGCTCACTGTTAGCCACTAGGTGGCACTAGAGAGGACCTGGGATACCGAAGCTGATAGGCTTATTGCATCAAGCCATGGAGCCTCCGCAGGCTCCAGTCCCTCTTAGCCCTTCCTTCAGATGCTGTCTCTCCCGCAAACTTGCAAACAGCCGACCCCTCCACAGCCCTGCTCCTCCTCTCAGGTCTGATCCCATTGCCCTACCCTTCCTGTCTTACCTTCCTTCACAGGGATGGCTGGCTTCTTCTGCCTCAGGCCCAACAGAATGAAGAAGAGGACCAGGGGTATGAAGATCTCGAAGGCCAACACCCACTGTGGAGAAGAAAAGCAGACTGGACTGAGGAAAAAAGAAAAATAAACATACACACACACATAAGATATTCACATGAAACATCTTATGAAGCAGAAAAATGAACACATTCAGAAATAACACACACAGACAAACAACATCAGAGGTTTGTACAACTTTTATTATTCTCCCTGCATTTGAAATAGCCCCATTTTATTGTTGGAGTCACGTTTTATGGTGGAATGCATGGATCTTAGGCTTCCTTCTACGTTGGACACCCTCTCATATGAATGTCTGACCTGAAGGTGACTCAGGCTCAGTACCTCACCTCTCGAACATCTTTAATGTGGGAGGAAGGGCCACTATCGCCTCTCCTTAATGAGGGTGCAGGCATCTGCACACAAATACATCATGACCCCAAGCTACTGTAGATGTGGCTTGACCCAGTCACACTGAAAAGTCTGGCAAACTCTGATAAACCTCATCCCATAAGACCTCACCTGCTGTAAGGGAAACCTAATCCCATAAGATCGCATCCACTGCCAAGGAAACCTGATCCCATAAGATCTCACTCGCTGTCAGGGAGAACTGATCCCACAAGATCTAACCCACTTTCAAGGAAACCACATCCTGTAAGATCTCATCCACTGTCAGGGAAAGCTGATCCTGTGAGATCTCACCCGCTTTCATGGAAACCTGATCCCAAAAGATCTCATCCACTGTCAGGGAAAGCTGAACCTATAAGATTCCACTCGCTGTCAGGAAAATTCAATTCTGTAAGACTTCAACTTACGCAGGTTGAACTGAACCCATAAGATCTCATCTGCTTTCATAGAAAACGAATTCCATATGATCCCTAATCCCCTAATATCTCAGCTGCTGTCAGAGAAAGTTGATCCTGTATGATCCCACCAACTGCCTGGGAAAGCTGATTCCCTAGGAACTCAAACACTGTTAGGATGAGCAGAACCCGTAAGATCTCACCCATTTTCAGGAAAACCTAATCCATAAGATCTCATCTGCTGTCAGGGATGCTGATCCCATAATATTTCACCCGCTGTCAGGGAGAACTGATCCCGTATGATGTCACCCGCTGTCAGGGAGAACTGATCCCGTATGATGTCACCCGCTGTCAGGGAGAACTGATCCCGTATGATGTCACCCGC